TCTTAAATTTGCGAAACAGATTTCAAAATATTTAGTAAAAACTTACCAACTATAATATAGATAAAGCAAATATTCCTTTGAATTTGAAAACCAAATTTAAAAAATATGCAAATATAAACTTACATTCTATAAATATAATACGGCTAAGTCGCCTTTCTTCAGGATTTGCGAAACAAATTTAGAAAATATGCAAGTAAAAACTTACTGTCTATAAGTCGAAAACCGATGATATAGTTAAAGCGTTTTTTCTTCAGAAACTACAAACATATATAATATACAAGCAGAATCTATGCTATAAATATAATATAGTTAAAGCGTTTTTCTTCAGAATTCGCAAAACAAATTTAGAAAACATTCAAGTAAAAACCTACTGTCTATAAGTCGAAAATTGATAATGTAGTTAAAGCATTTTTCTTTAGAAAAAACAACCATATATAATATGCAAGCAGAATCTTACACGCTATAAATATACGTAATATAGTTAAAGCAGAATTCGTAAAACAAATTTAGAATACATTCAAGTAAAAACTTACTGTCTATAAGTCGAAAATCGATGATATAGTTAAAGCATTTTTCTTTAGAAACTACAAGCATATAAAATATGTAGCAGAATCTTACACGCTATAAATATAACATAGTCAAAGCACTTTTCTTCAAAATTCGCAAGAAAACATTCAAGTAAGAACTTACGGTCTATAAGTCGAAAATCGATAATATGGTTAAAGTACTCTACTCTTATTTGAAACTTGCAAAATAAATTTAGAAAATTTGCAAGTGAAAACTTACCCTCTGCAAGATAATATTGTCAAAGCACTTTTTTTCCGAATTCGTAAAATGAATTTAGAAAATAAGCAAGTGAAAACTTACTATCTATAAGTCGACGGTCGATAATATATTAAAGTACTTTTCTTCAGAATTTTCGAATTAAATTAGAAAATATGCAAGTAAAAACTTACAGTCTATAAGTTAAAAATCGATATATAGTCAAGATATTTTTTCGCAATTTGCGAAAAAGGTTTAGAAAATATATAAGTAAAAACATACCATCTATATGTCAATAATAATAATATAGTTAAAGCAATTTTCTTAGAATTTGCAAAATAAATTTAGAAAATATGCGAGAAAAAACCTACCATCTGTAATTTCAGAGGTTACAATATTGCTAAAGCCTTTTTCTTCGGAATTACGTGGAAAATAAGTGAGAACTTACCCACTACAATATAATATAATTGTTATAGTTAAAGCACTTTTCTTGAATTTGCGAAACAAATTTGAAAATATGCAAAATAAAACTTACCATCTGATACCAATCATGAAAATATAGTTAAAACCACTTCGGAGTTTGCGAAAAAAATATATTTTTTTTCTTTTTTAGAAATCTGCGAGTAAATACTTACAGCCTATAAGTCGGCAATAGATAGTATAATTAATCCAATTTTTTTCAAAATTTGCGAAGCAACTTAGAAAGTATGCAAACGAAAGCCTACCCCCTATAAAATAATATATTTAAAGCACATTTCATTGGAATTTGCGAACCAAATTAAAAATATGCGAGTGAAAACTTACCACCTGCAATACGTATTAAGAATGATAGAGTTAAAAAACTTTAGAATTTGTAAAACGAACTTAGAAAACATGCAAGACCTTACCATCTGTGGTATTAATAATAATAGTATAGTTAAAACACTTTCTTTAGAATTTACAAAATAAATCTCGAAATTTGCAAGTGATAATTTACCCCCCTGCAAGATAATGTATTTAAAGTAAAGTACTTTTCTTCTGAATTTTTGCGAACTACGTTTAGTAAATATGCAAGCAAAAACCTACCATCTGTTTTATCAAGAGTGATATAATTCAAGTACTTTTCTTTAGAATTACCAAAATAAATTTAGAAAACATGCAACAAAAGACTTACAGTCTATAAGTCATCAATCGATAATTTAGTAAAGTATTTTTTTTCGGGATTTTCGAAACAAAATTAAAAATCAACTTACAGTCTGTAAGTTAACAATAATAATATGATTAAATCACTTATTCAAAATTTGAAAAACAAATTTATAAATATGCAATTGAGAACTTACCATCTGTGCTATCAAAATATTAATGAATTTTTCTCTAGAGTCTACGAAACAAATTTAGAAAATCCACAAGTAAAAACCTACAAACTATAATTCAACAATCGATAATATAGTTAAAGCTCTTTTCCTCAAATAAATTTAGGAAAAATAAAGGGAAAACTTACAGTCTATAAATCGACCATCGATAATATAGATAAAGCACTTTTCTTCAGAATTTACGAATCAAATTTAGAAAATATGCTAGTAAATACTAACTCTCTAGAAATATAGTATAGTTAAGACACTTTTTTTTCGGAATTTACGAAACATATTTAGAAAATATGCAATTGAAAACTTACTATCTGTGATACCATAAATAAACAATATAGTTTAAGTACTTAAATTTTGCGAACCAAATTTAAAAATATGCAAGTGATACTTACAGTCTAGGTTGGCAATCAATAATATAGTTAAACCACTTTCTTTATAAGTTACGAAACAAATTTAAATAAATCGCAAAGTGAAAACTTACGCCCTATAATATAATATTTAAAATAGTTTTCTTCAGAAATTGGAAATAAGTTTAAAAAATATGAAAGTAAACTTACAGCCTATAAGTCGAAAATCGATAATATAATTAAAGAATTTTCTTCTGAATTTGCGAACTCAATTTAGATAATATTCAAGTAAAAACTTACTCCCTACAATATAATACAATTAAATCTCTTTACTTTAGAATTTACGAAATAAATTTAAAGAGTAAACAGATAAGAACTTACAGGCTATAATTCGAAATCGAAATGGAGTTAAAAGTATGTTTCTTCAGAATTTACAAAACGATTTACTTAATATTCAAATGAAAACATACCCCCTGGTAATATGATCAAAGCATTTTTCCTTAGAACTTCGAAACAAATTTAGAAATATGCAAGCAAATCTTACCATCTGTAATATTAAGATAATATAGTTAAAGCACTTTTCTTTAGAAAATGAAACAGATTTAAAAATATACAAGTGAAAACTTACATTCTATGAGTCAATGATCGATAATGTAGTTAAAGTATTTTTTTTTTCTGGAATTTGCAAAACAAATTTAGAACATATGCAAATGAAAACGTACCCCCTATAAAACAATATAGTTAACACACTTTTCTTAAGAATTTTATGAAATAAGTTTATAAATATGCAAGCAAAAACTTACATTCTATAAGTCGTAAATTGACAATATAAATAAAGACTTTTCTTCAGAATTCCAATAATATGAAGTGAAATCTTACCATCTGTGATATCACGAATTATAATATAATAATGCACTTTTCTTTAGAATTCCAATAATATGAAGTGAAATCTTACCATCTGTGATATCACGAATTATAATATAATAATGCACTTTTCTTTAGAATTTGCGAAACAAATTTTGAAAATATACTAGTGAAAACATACCCCCTATAAATCGACAATCGATGCGTAATGTAATTACGTACCAATAAAAACTTTTTACAAACTTCGTGAGAAGACCTACCTATAAAATTAGAAATTTTAATATACAGTATATATTTAATAACGAGAGAACCTTGTGTACATATAATATAATGTAACCTAATGATTTGATAATCAACTCCATGGTTTCTTCAGTTATCGCCACCATGGTAAGTAGTAAGTGCGGTGTACAGTAGTTTATGCCCTATTTTATAATTTACGAGCCGAGCAAGGTCGTCCTGTCATACCAAAGCAATTAGATTTTTTTTTTTTTTTTGAAGCTACCACCCAGGCAATATAGGCCTTTTATTTATATGTATTCGAAACATCCATTTGAATTAAACCATTCAAATTTTATTTTCATTGCATTATGATGCGAACCATCTAGTCGTATCAAATCTGTGCCACTTTGTACTACTGTATTAAGTAACTTAAGGGATCATGCTATCGTATTTAGTAATTTAAGATTACTTAACTATTTCCGTAATTATAGCCACACACATATTGCATTATTAATATACGATCCACCCATGACCCTCAATATTCTATCGGGGGTGAGTAATATACACCGCGAAATTTAGTAATGAATTATAAAAAACCAAACCAATAAATCTCGTATAAACCCCCCTGATGCATTATTAGCTATACGTACTGTATCTTATATGTATGCACTGATTTTAATAGGCCTTTAAGTAATTCATTTATCAGGACGAGACTTAAGCATCATTGTCTTGAATAATGTTGGAAATAACGGTTCCTGCATGTCGTTTGTCTTAAATTCATATAATTGACTAATTTTGTCGATAGCTAGTACTAGGATAGGGTGTCCAGATTTGTGCAGCAAAGTTCAGTAAATAATGCGGCAAAATGCGGCAAAATATAACGAATTATGTAATATGCGGCAAATATATTATCCTTGAAAGAATTGATAATATTTGCATTTTTTCTTGCCAAAATTAATTGAAATCTAATTCATCATCAAAAATATCAGTATAAATTCCCCATTCTGTTATTATTTGATTTGTTGGATTTTTAAATTCCGTGATTACAAGAGTTTGAATTTTCCTTTGCTAAATTCTAATTATAATCCGGCCTCTTGTTTTCTGTTACGGTAAATTTTTTTTTTTTTATTCGGATCCCTTACTGCCCGGAGTTATCAACGCTGATTCTATATTTTTAATGCCCCGATAACACTTTTACAATAAAGATCGTTCATGGCAAAGAAAAATTTCTACTATGAAAAAAAAATAATAGTTTGCGGGAAAACTCCTGGCCCTCTGAGCTGGTAATGAAATAAGACATAACCTGCGTTATTTGAACCCGATTATTTATTATCAAATGAAGGTTTGTGCATCATAACAAAGTCTCCGCATTATATACTGTATTTACGAGATAATAATAAAGCAATTATATTCAGTTACAATGAGTGTTAAAAAGAATTTCTGAAAAGGATCAATTTAAAAATTATGCTTCCGTCCATTTTGAAACCCAATTTCTGGTTTTCTCCAAAACCTTAACTGCCTTTTCATCATCAACTAATTTCCTCAAAGCCTTATTAGCTTTTTCCCAGCACATCTCGCATTCATCTTTAAACTGTCTAAACATGATTACTTCTAAATATCCAATTGCTAACGCAGTACACAAAATCTCCTCGTTGTCGATATCGATCTCCTTAAAATCTTTAAACTCTTTTCTATCGAAGCATTTGTAAAACTGTGGCGTGGGATTAAATTTACCATCAAAAGATTGGAGATTAAGAAATTCATATAATACTTCTATCTTTGATTCTTTGAAATTGAGTTCGACATCGATCGTTGATTCTTCGAAATTGAGTTCATAGTCGTAACTATCATCGTAATCGCATGCAACGCTTTCCTCATGAACTATATCTTCGGTCAATATCTTACGGTAACGTTTGGCGCCGCCAAGAGACAAACCTAACGACACTAGTGTAGTTCAGAAATAGTTAAATCGAACTTCTACACACATTAGTATTTATCGAATGTCATGTCATAAAAATAAATTATTACAATTTCTGCCTCTAGATAATTGCAAGGGCACGGATCTTTCCTCGGGCGGGTACAGTTTGCCGATTGGTCTATTATCTCTCTCATCAATGGCAAGGAAACTAAGCATTATCGAAACACACATTGTCCAATCTGATTAATCGCTAATCACTCGAATTGTGTGAAGTTGACCAACAAGATAGCTTTACCTCGTGTATTTCGATGCTAAATTAAATGTCGTTCCTAAATTAACAATTTGTTCCTCTATAACTGAAACGGGAATGGGTTTACTTTCGTTTTTGGGATGTTTGTGAATGAATGGGGCACCATCATTGAGATCTTGAATAAGTTTTCTTGCGGCAAGTGTGTGAATTTTTGACCCTTGTAAAGTGACTGGATCTAAGGGAACAATGAGACTCACTGGGCCATCCGAAGATTTCGCAGTCAAGGTGATTTCCCTTTTGGGCCTAACACCTTTCGATAGTATACAATAAACGATAAACCTAATGCCGGAATATATTTGTGGAATAACAAATGGAGCTTGTTTGATTTGGGCCTCTACAAAGGCCACTTGTGACGAGATGAGATTGTTATCAGGGGGATTAATTTCCGACATGATCTCACCCTCTTTCTCGTTAGAGCCCTCGTGTTCAAGCTCACTTTCTGTCCAGATAATATTGTAATCTTTAATTGGTGGTCTTACAGCATTCCTTAGCATGCCTGAAACTTTCTTATCCATGCGTTCATTGGTGGTCACGTACTGAGCGTAACCTTTTCCTGCACGCGCAACAGATTCGGTAGTTTTCGCAAGGGCCAGCCAGGGATAATAAAGATGAACGTTGTTTTGGTGATTTAAGAATACGATTTAATTAAATCGATAAAAAATGAAATTATAGATGACGAATAAAAAAAAATATGTATTAAAATTTACTACGTAGAAATTTCACCATCAATCAATCAGTGGATGATTATTTCAAGATAATAAAGGTGCATGATACAGCATTGGATAATCACGAATATTTTTCAATAATTACCACGATACAAGAAAGAAGTATTTCAGAATGAAATAGTCGAGCACTTGAATATTGAAAATTTTAACTTGGATCCTTGGAACAAGGTAATGATTTAGTAATGAAATTTTATTCAAATAAGGCATGTTTTCTTAATGAAGAACAGCTCGAATATCAACTCCTCTGTGGATTACCACTCGAAAATCAGATAGAGATCAGAAGATGCGGATTAGAGCTTTCGTTAAATGAGTTAGTGGCAAGGTTAGGTGCAATGAAAGTCTTGTTGATTGAGGTGGGAAAATAAAAATTCGGGTATATACAGTAAGTTCGTGGAACATGCGTTGTCCAATGTGCCACATTAGTGGCAAAAGATAATTAATGCGTAGTTATATAATGCAAAATGCTTACAATCTATATACAAGTTTATTGGGTAGTCTAGAGATGAGACAGTATTAGCATCCAATTAGGTGTAGACATTTATACACGCTATTTGTGTACTTTTCTTTCCCAATAAATGCATCCACTATATTATTCGCCAATTAATCTATTTGTGAAATGTAATGCTTCAAATTTGCGTACTCTTAAGTTTTCGCAAGAAACACACAGTATATCTGCTACCAAGGCCCCATTCGAAAACACTTTCTCCCAAAACTCGACAATATTTAGGAAATTTAGGGGATCTTTCACATTTTCACAATATTTGATTTTATACAAGTGGATATAGAGTGATAGATCAAGCATAAAGAAATCGCCTTGGTATTTAATGGCGTTGGAGACATGGAATTCGACATTTTCATCGCTTTCATCAATCGTAATGAGTGAAAGAGTTAGGTTGGACCGCACTCATTCCAACGCCTGAAATTAGAGTGATGAGTTTATAAATAACGTCGAAAACAGCATTGGTATAACTCACCTCTCCTTCATTTGCTCCAAAATCAGATAAGGGAGTTGTTTTTACAAACAAGGATATTGGTCAGTCGCACATCACCATGTACTATGTACCACCTTCATGAAATAGACGGAACGGATCCACAATCTTCGCTAATTCTGATGCAGATATTTGAGATTTTTTAAACGTCATAACCGCGCGTGGTCGTAATAGCATCGGAATGTTGGATGACTTATCGAGGTGTATAACCCCAGAAACTCTACGAAACTTTTCTAATGCTTTTATCTCATTAGTTAATATATCTGGTCGATTCACAATTTTGGCCACTGTATTGTCATCGACTCCAAATACGTATAGTAGAGACGGACATTGATGTGTCCACAGCTGTAAAAAAAAATCAGTTACTTGGCTGTGGCAGTATATTTTGTGTAAGATAATTTTATAATATATTTCTTTTTTGTTTTCTGGTGGTCTGGTGAACGTGAGCGAGAAGTTCGCGAGATGAAACCACAATGTTTCACTGCGCATCGTTGAGATACCATCCATAATTGATAGAGGCTGTGAGATGTCACATTAAAAACAGCGGCCAATTTGACTTCAGTACGAGCCAATTTTATTTTAGTACAAAGTCTTTTTCTTTTTTCCTCTTATACTTCGAGCTGACTTTCGGACCTTTTACACTTTTCTAGTTTAAGCCCTAGTGTTAAATCTAAATGAAATAACAGGAAATGTGAAAACTCGTTTTATTTTAACATAACAGCAACAGGGCACAATAGCTTACCTTGAATGATAGCTATGAAATAATAAACGTAAAAAGCATAAGTTTGCTAACGTTGCAACATTATATCAAACCTCCCCTAAACAAGCATCCCTCCTTTGAACTATCAAGTATCTCTTTCTACTAATTTTCGATCGAGTATGAATTGGTGATTACATTATTCGTTCGCTAATTTGACCAACCAACTCTGCAATTGCTTCTGCCGATTTTCTTCTTGAACCATCTTGTTTAAGTTTTTCTTCAGTTAAACGAAGGAGGCCACGATCGGAAACTTCCTGATCTTCAATTATTTTGATGTGTTGGTCCTCAAGAAGTAGTTCATCTTTCTTTTCCTATAACTTGGCATAGTAATTTCAGTGATTTCAACGTCTTCCACGAAAATTATTGTGATATCGAGCAGTTCCTCAAAAAATACTTTCAATGTAATAATTACCAGTAGACTGTTCTCTTAGCAAGGGGGTTTTCTCGGACGCTTTCCCTTTTTCAGACGTACTAGTGTCCGTGGTCGAATGTTTTTCCTCACCAGCATCTAGTAGTTAAACGTCTTTGCCATCTATTTTTTTCACTAACGATAATAAGTAATAATTCTCCACAGAATAATAAAATAAGCTCGCTTTTACCTGTAGACTTGCCAGCAGGAAAGGTAGCATTCAATTAAATTCTCGTGTAACCTAGTGATATACAGTATATACAGTATGGTTTACATTTTATCTTAACGCTTTATGTTCTTTTTGTTAAAACAGCTCCCAGTTAGACTATACAGCCAGAAGACAATCTCACAGACCTGTCTGATAAGGGTATTGTGGAAGTCCCAATATTATCACAAGTGGTCGCACAATAACCAGAGTTCAACATCCGAAGGCTACGGCTACTCTCTGAATACGTACCTAACACCGCTCCCATGGTACACTCGAAATGTCATGAGATTCAAAAGCTTTTATTCAAACGTGTATAAAAGAATTCAATTCAAATATTCCATGCCATGTTTTCAATCAAAAGTATTTGGCATACTCAAAAAAGATGGTTCAATCCATTTAATCATAGACTTAAGAAATCTGAATACTACATAAGTTTTCTTATTTCAAAATGGAGACAGTAGATGTCAAAAAGCATAAGTAAAACAAAATATTTATGACTTCGATAAATATTCAAGATGCATTTTATCACATACCTTTATCATTATATGCGCAATCTTTGAATTCGACAATAGTCACTATCAATATTGGACTAACGAGCAGTCCGAGGATTTTCACGAAGATAATGAAACCCTTGATGGCTTAGGCGAGAAGTTAAGGAAACATAATCGCGATTTGATCAGACAACCTTCTAATGCTAGCGCATATCAAGAAAATACAACAAATACAGTACTTGAGAATTTAGGATTTCGAATCAAACGTTCAGAAATCCTATTTTATCTCAACTCAGCAGACTCGATGAAGATTTCTTTGTCTTCAAAAAATGTCATCTAAATAAAAGGTTGAATCATCAATGGTCATTAAGACGGGAGCAATTCACACAAGAAACTCGCCACTACAAATGGAAAGCCCTTAGTAACAGCTGGCATGGTTTTTCCCGCAAGATTAAGGACTAGATCATTAATAAGAGACAAAAATTGAGCTCTCAAGAATCATAGGTGGAATGCTCACTTGATCAGAGTGTTCAACTAAACTGGTGGATCGCCAACCTAGGACAGAATTAACTATGCTTAATCCCATCCGTTCCGATCATAGTATACTTATACCGACACAGTCAGGATTGGGAGGAATAACTTTATAAGTACTCCTTAATAACAAAACTCTAGAAAAATGACAAATCTACTATAAAATATTAAATATTAGGTAAAAAAAATACTTCATAATATTATTTAAGGGATAATTGGAATAGAAGATTATTTAGCTTTAAACAAAGTTATGCTTATTCAATAGTAAAATTCAAGTTATGGAAAGATGCCATTTACAAAAAGACCATTCTATCATTCAAGAAATATAATATTATATTCTTGAATCAACTTATTAATAAAGATACAAGAGTAATTAGAGACTGAAGAATAGTCTGGATACTTCTTGATAATAGAAAAGTTGAATTCTCAAATTATATAAGCAATTTTTTATCCAGATTATAAAAAGACAAGATTTATAAGAAACTTTCTCAAAAACTTGAAATGAATTAATTATAAATTTTAGACTGAAAGCTGTTATCTCAATTAAATAAAAGTAAAATTTATTGAGAGTTAAAAGAGACTTCTTACTAAACTTAATAGAAAAAATCAAAATTCTTCAAAATAATATTACTTTTATATTATATTAATTGAATTACAATTTCATTATTAACTTTGCAAAATATCAATCAAACTTTACAAAGTAAGCATTTACACTATTCTTACCTAAAGTTCAATATTTCACTAGTCGAAAAATATTTATTCGGCATAATGCCACTCGTATAACATTCGTCAAAAAAACAAATAATTCAGCATATTAATGATATAAATAAATCATCAATCTATTTCTATCATATAATTCGGCAAATAATTCGACATAAATAAATCATCAATCGATTTCTACTATATAATTTGGCATATAATTTAAATCGTCAATCAATTTCTACTATATAATTTGGCATTATTTGCCATATTTGCACCATTTTTACTATATATTTCGTTAAATTTTTCCTCAAAAAATCATTAGACATTCG